GTGTCCTGGGGCGAAAAATATCATTTTGGCCAGCGGCCGGTGGTCTCGTGACGCGACCACGCGAGCGTAATGCCGTTTCCATTTGATCCGATACGTTTGGGGGCGCCACTGACGCGTTACCCTCCGGTCACCACCCTTCGACTTCGCGCCGTTATTCCATGAATTTGTTCGTTCCTCGTGCACGAGTGCCCCCAGTGCCGGGGAAAACGAACAGACCTATTTATTCACCCGTTTCATTCGTTGAGAAAGGAAAAAAACAAAATAAATCCCGCGGCGAAGTAACAAAATTGTCGCTCAAAATTGCCGCGCTTTCCAGGTGGGTCGAAACCACGGAGTGGGCTCGCGTAAATCAACCGCGTGAAATATGTCACGTTCCCCGTTCCCGCGATTCTGTAGTAAGAAAATTCGATAAATGAAATCTACCTCGGTAATTGAAAATCCGTTATCGTATACCAAGTGGCGGCGTCGTTTACGTTTCCATGGTGATATGTTATCCCCTGAAGAAAAACTGAAAACACCTTATAGAGACAGGTAAACATTCGAAGTAATCGCATATTTTCCTGGTAGGAATAGGTCAATTACGTTTTATGAGGCGAAAGCGTACCGGATATTGTCTGAATACAGGGCAACGTTCTTAACGAAAAATCAAGTCTGCACTGTTTCCGTCAGTTTTTGCAGTATTAGAATTCCCAGAAGAATGTCAAATACTGCTGCCGCGTCGTTTACGTTTCCGTAGTGGTACGTTATTGACAGGTGGAGGCCCGAGCGTCGGCGTCGCGCAATACACGCATACGGCATCTCGGCGTGTGCGCCGTGCGGATCGTACATCCGGCAAACGAGGTTGCGGATAGTTACTCACCTTCCCGGCGAGAGTTCCGCCCTTCGAGGTGGTCGAAATGGGTGGACGTGCACCTGGCTTAACGCGTTCCTTTCCCATTCGACTGCCGTATTTGCGCACCTGCAAAAGTACCGAAATCAATCACTATTCGCGATAAGTACAGGTTTCGGATGTAGGGAACAAAAGGGAACCGATTATGCAAATGAACCCATACGGTGTCTCTGGGAATTTACATATAGAAAAAAGAAATAGATTTTCTTACCCCCCGTTAATAACGTGAAAAGTTTAATATTTTAGGATTAAAAGGAAACGGTGGTAACCTTACAATTATAATTTTTATATCGAACGAATATGTATGTATGTCCGCACAAGAAATTATTAGATGCTTTTGTAATATTTCTTTTCGGGATTTTAGGGGTTGGAAAAAATTCTTCGGGGATACTTTGACTTCTGATTTCAAAAGCAATAATAAAACCTCCCGCGCTAGGTACTGTAATTGCAATAGAATAACAAAGTATATGGATACGTGCACCCGGCTCGGGTTCGAAATAGCACGTCCAAATCCAACCATGATAATATCCGCTAAGTGGGCTCAGCACGAGCAAACTCTCGTAATACAATCCTGTCATAGTAATATTATACGCGACGATACGTAATTCACTTACCGTCAATTCCAAAAATCATAATCATCTAAGGGATAACGTTGACATTATAAGTAAACATACGAAACACCGTGTTTGTTACTCCAAACATAATAACTATTTAACTCAAATAAATATTCTTCAAATTAATAGAATATATTTGATTGTGTGTTCACATTCAATGTGTCTTCCTTGGGGTGGGTCAGGGTTTCAATCTGGATATTAATAAATGTCGTCGACGTGCCTCTTAGGAACATCTTCTAAGTAGTACGTAGCTGACATTGGTAATATTATAGTAATTCCATTACAATCACCAATGTTCGTAGATTTCCTGCCGGAGACGCGTCACGTGAGCACCGCGCATGCGCGAAGTCTTCTCGATCACCTGTGGCGCCATGTTCGAAACCGCGAGTGGCACTAATCCGTTTGCTCGCCTTTCCCTCGGAACACCCACCGGCACCCCAAGTCTGTCGGGCACTGAAATATTCAATGAACGGACCCACACCACCCTGCGACGCCGCCAAGCGATTCGGTAACGTCGCGGTGCTCGTCGTCCCTTGTTCCATGTCGCGGCTGGTCTTCGCTGCACCTTACATGTCGCGACTTCTTTCCGAAATAATTCCCCAGGAACTCGCAGGTCGCAACTCTTCCGTCCCCATGGGAAGCTACTTGACTGTCTGGCAGATGTTACAGGGGTAGTAAAACTACGGCCATTGAACCACTTCTTTTTATTGCGTCCGCCATCTTGCGGGAAAACTTTAAGAGGATGTGAGGTAGGACATGGTCGCAAACCGATCGATTATCGAAGTCGTTACAGAGTGCGTTTCGGGCAGATTATTCCTCCCACCACGGTCTCCTGTAATGGCCTGTTGTACCGTGACTCAATTGTTTCCATGTAATTCCAGTTTGTACTGATTCTTCGACTGCGGAAGTGGCAGCCATTTAATTACGCTCTCTGTTTCCATTAGAAATTTATACGGCCCTTTACGTAATATTTTGTGGGATTTAATAGATAGACTTTTATAGATATTTCAGAGCGTACGATTTGCAAGGGAGAGCGTATCGGAGTAGGAGGGACATTTTGTTATTTTAGAGGTACCCAATTGTGTTTGAGTAAATGTAATTGTCGAAGTGGTACCTTGCATTACATTTTGGATGAATCTGGATGTATCAAAATACCGGCGGAGCTCTGATATTCATCCCGCCAGCTTTGTTCTTTCATTTCCTCCCTATTGTCTGAATGAAAATAAAAGAGATGAAATAATGCCGGAACAAACACGGAATGATTTCAAGGAGGTTTCATTGTAGCGTCCTTTGTACGCGGCTGGCTAGGAAATGGTACATTCTGTCAAAAATAATCCGCCTTGGAGAAGTTCGACAGATGAGCGGCTTTACTGGACGGTTGGTCATGTACATAATGAAATCGATTGACTTTTCGTATATACGGCCGTATACTATTGTAGCAGAGCAATGGTTCAAATACGTAATCTATGTTCAATCATGTCGACGAGTTTGAAGAAGCGCTCGAGAGAGTACTCTAGAAGATTCAATGCTCTTAAAAGAGGCAAACAAATCAGTCCTGGTCTTGTCTTGACAATGCAACAAAGAGAATATTCCTAAATACAAGAAGTTAAACCATCTCCATTAAAATATCATTCATTACGAGTACATCTCGCTATTTTAAAAGCAAATGCAAATGTCCGGAATTAGCAAGAAATTTATAATGGAATATATCGTTAGAGCCTGGGTAAAAAAGATATAATAGGAAAAACAAAGGATACATTTTCGCTCCTCTTATTTCTGCACGTTTCCATTTCGCTGCAATCAACACGAAGTGTAAACTTTTCAATAACATCAACATTTCCCAGCAGATAAGTTGGTCATATATCTTGGCAGAAAATAGAGAAGATAGAAATAGAAATAAATATTAAATTTGCGGAATTTCCTCCGGGTCGCAGACCCCGAAGGCTTCAATCAAGGGAAGTGCTAAGACCGATTCGAAGCTAGATCGTCGATTTAACCGAGGCAACTTTAGTCGGGTGGAATCCCAATACCGTATAGCATCTGCACATCCCCGGACGTAACTTGGCAATATTTTCGCGCAACCCTTCCCAGGGGATGGCGTGCATCTTTCAGGCGGCATCCTTCTGGCCTGAGAGGCCTTCGACCGGGTTGAGCTTTCGTGACAAGAGGAGGTAACGTGGAGGACACCTCCGCGGGGTCGGCAGATTTCGTCGGGAATTCGAAATCGAGGGCAGGCTTCGATACTTTTGCGGATTGGCCACGGAGGAAGCCGCGAAAGCTGCGGAAAACGAGATGCCCGCGGCCACTCCGCGGGTTTATCCCCGAGCTTTTAATTTCCAGCGACGAAGCTTTTTATACCCCCGCGCGGTATAATTAGCCGAGGGAGGCGAGCGGCATTGAATATTTCAGCCCGGAGGTCGCCCTTGTGAAAATAAAAATAAAAGGTAAGGACCCCCGCGCTTTTCGGGGGACTGAGGAAAAATGGAAGAGAGAGAAGACGCGCAAAAGGGGTCCGGCCACCCGGGGTCTTCGGAGGACGGCCCCGGGATTAGGGGCAAAGTTATGTTCGGCATTTCGCGGGAAGCTTTGCATAAGGTCTCCATCCTGGTCTGCCCGGCGCGTTAACTGCCTACTATTTCCTAACCTGCCACCGTGGCTGGCTTAACACTGATTACTCCGGACTAATTTGCAAGTAAGCGACGTGGGACCGCCAAAGGCTCCTGCCTCCTCGGTTCCGGAAGTGGATCTCCTCGAATCGCGACTAAGCGGTGTACGACTGTTTTCACTTTTCGAATTACTCGCGCGGGTTGAAATGGAGCTCTTACTGTAAGTCCTGACATGCCCTGCTTAACAATTTCTCTAATCGCAGTGTTTTTCGAACCCTTCTGGAAATAACATAATTTTACTTTCACGCCCTTGCCGATACAATTATCTTTATCGAGCTAATATAATTATTTCCGTAAAACCAACATTTCAGGACATGAAGAACAATTTACATAGAAAAACTCCACAAGTTCCTGAATTCATGGTTTCTGAGGCCCTGTTGACTACAGAGGGACTCCCTGCGCCATCTGCGATTTTCGTGTCAACTAAATTTTCACTCAGTTGTCGTACAACTGTCCTAATTAGGTCCATGCTCTTAAAAAAAAGTGTCTCATTCGAGTCGACCGATTTGAGGGGGCTTTCACTTCACCTCAATAACCAAACCACGGTGACAATGCCCAACGCAGTATATCATTGACATTTATACAGACCTGATTTTGGAAGAAGACGAGAGCTTGCCTAAGTATGGAAGTTTTAAGTACCCACGTTTTTCAGTGCCGGGAGAAAACACTCGTTAACTTTACACGCTCGAGTTTGCAGCGAAGAGCTTTCGAAGCTCGTGCTCGCCGGTACAAGCTGTTAACGCCGGCTAAACGAAATTCCAAAAGTCGGCCAAGTAGTTCGTAAATTCTAACGAAAGCTAAGTTTCACGAGGGTCTTGTTCTTGCTTGCAGAATGTCACGGGGGCAGCCAAGCTGGTCGGACGAGCCCGGAAACGCGAACAGCATATCACGACAAAGCGAGGCTCGCCAAAATCCTCCAGGACCTTCCCCAAGGATGGCTCAGTCCGGCGAAAAGCCGCCATCTTGCAGTGGCTTCCGGTTGGGCGTCTACGGGTGGAGGAAGAGATGCCTCTATTCCCTGGTCCTTGGCCTTATGGTCATGGTCATAGTAAATCTGGCACTAACCCTCTGGCTCCTCAAAGTCATGGAATTTAGCTCCGTAAGTCGTGCATCTCAATATTTATATCTTTTTACGATGTTTACCGTTGATTTTGCGGTAAGTAACCGAGCTCTTAAGATGATATAAAAAGGACATTCTATATATCTATATAAAAAAGTGAAAACATTTATCAAGCTTTTCTCCAATCGGGATGCACCGAATATCTGAAACTTTAACACGTGATTATGGAGGCCCTAAAGAAAAAAAAAAGGAAATGTCCTTTTCTTGGTTCTTGTCCGAGATAAATAGAAATTTGTTCGATATCGAAGCTGAAACACTTGTATCGCGAAAAGATTGGTTTTTAGTTCCTTTCGAAACGAAGTTGGGATTTCTAGGAGCGGAAATGGTTCTCGGGAAACGACCGAGCAACTTTTGGACAGCTATTAAAGCCTGCTTCTGTTTTAAAGCTTTAAAATGAGTTCCACCCGAGTTCCAGCACCGATTAACAGACCCTGTCGAGGTTGAGCAGGAGGTCGAAAGAGGAATAAGGACGATGATTATAATTTCCCGTAACTACATCGTCTCTCGGTAAACCATATGAATAGGGATTGTTCATTCTGAATTTGAATTTTCATAATTTCTACCCCCTCAGTAATTGGATTCCAGCATTTACGAAACCTCCCTGTAAACTAACTGCGTCACTAACCATTAATTGCTTTTAATTATTACCCCTATATCAATGAAAGACACACACAAAGAAATGAAAAAAGCAATTCATAATCATCGCCGAACGAGTTCTTCACCTTGTACAAGACATTAAAAGCTCTTTTTTAAATCATGTAATTCGAGTAATTCTTGCCGAGGAGTTCTCCGCTTTCCATCTCCTCCTGACAGTGTAGATAAGCGTCTCCTCTCAAAAGATAACGTTAATAGTTAACCAGGAAAGTTAAGATGGATTATTTCCCGGGGAAACAATTCTTAGCGAAGTTTCACTTCGGCCGAGGTTCTGAATAATGCGGAATCTTAGTGAAATACGAAGTTCAGAGCTACGTCGGTTGTAGGAAGCTGCAAAATATGTATGATTTTCCGTCCCGGGGTTCGTGAAGTCGCGCAAAGCCCGACTTAATTCTGAATCTCTGATCGAATCGGAGAGTTCGTTTCCATCGGAATACGCGAATTGTGCGGGGCGTAATCCCAAGGGGTAATTCGGTAACTCCCTCGTTCTAGCGCCATTATCGAGTTTACTTCGAAATCGACACTTTCCCCTCAATCTTCCGCAATGATGCCTCGATAGGAAGCTAAACTCGGCGGAAATTGAGTATCAATCCGTAAGTAAGGGTCTTGAGCCGGGGCGGCTTGAGCATCTCGAGGGAAATGTAAGGAGTCTCTGATACTTATTCCCTTATTTTCCTTCGCACCCTTCGTCAAATCATCCCGTTTTTTCTCAATCTCGCATCCGGTACATCTATTACCGCGCTATATCCGGAATTTGTTTCGCACGATGAGATTTCATTGAATTTTATGAATGAAAAAAAATTGTAGTCAATAGCAGCGTAATATAATGAGACATGTAAGGAGTCTGTGATAATTATTCCCTTATTTTCCTTCGCACCCTTCGTCAAATCATCCCCAATTTTTTCTCAATCTCGCATCCGGTACATCTATTACCGCGCTATATCCGGAATTTGTTTCGCACGATGAGATTTCATCGAATCTTATGAATGAAAAAAAATTGTAGTCAATAGCAGCGTAATATAATGAGCGTTACGGACAATGGAAAGAAATTTTAATAAAGAAATCATGGTACTGTAAATAATTATCGGCACAAACCATCCAACCATATAATCTTCGTGAAATTCGAAGCCATAATGTTCTTCCGAAAGTTTCCCATCCGCAATATAAATTCCACATTTCGTCGATTGCGGAGAGCGAGGTTAGATGAGTTGGTTGAAATAACTTTACCCAATGATAGAAAGTCAAAAGTGCGCAAGAAAAGCAAGACCCATCGGTCTGAAAACTGGAACTCCTTGGCGCAGTTCCTTAACAACGTGCAATAGCTCAGAATATCCTAAACTTGTCCGGAAAGTAATTCTGTTGGAGAGCCTTCGTGTACGCGAAATTCCGGGAGTATCTCCCGAAGAATCCTTCGGTGCGAATACGACAAATGTCGTGGGACGCACCAATGACTCGGAGTCCTGGCAGGATTCGCCAAAGAATTTCAGAACGTTGATAACCTCCTTCAAGTTTTGCGGCCCCCTAGCCGAGGGGTCCGGATAAAACGCGCACTCGCGGACCGGAAATATTTTATATCTCCTGTACTTCTCTCTCCACCTTCATCCACCATTCTTTCCGAGCCATTCATATTTAACGAGAGAACCCTGCCTCCCCTATTTCACTCCGAAAGTCCTGTATCTCTTTAATATCGCCTCGCTTCTTGAAATTCGCATTAACCGGTATCGGTTGCCATTCCCGTGACGTTCCGCATCGCCCGAAATTATTTTTCTCAATTAAGGTGAAATGAAACACGGCGAGGAACTCGATCGACGTAGGTAAAGAAGATTTTTCTAAATACCTACATTTGTTTTTATATTGACAGCTGTGTCGAATTATATTGAGTACTGTATAATGTGGCATACTCCATCTGTCATTTCCGTACAATAATTAAATAGGAATCGAAGTAAAATTCCAGAAATCCCCTGGATTCATAGTTTCTGAGGCCCTAATTGACTGCAGAGGGACCTCCTTCACCATCTGTGATTTCCGTGTCAACTAAATTTTTACTCCAAGACTTCATATTACCATCCTTTTAGCGTAAGACACTTTCTTTGCCTTTATCCAATGCAAATGCGAGTTTCTCGATTACCAGAGTGTTCTAAATTGCCCGACAATTGTCCTGACCCTTTCGTTTCTCACATTACAGCCTTCAAGAATTGTATATCGATCGAAATATAAGAACTTGGCGCCATTTTGGTTCTGGTATGGGCTAAGTTAACAAATTTGTTTTTAAAATCCAAATTTGAAAAGTGTCAGGATAATTCCTAAGTGCTCACGGGTCACGTGTCAAAGTTTCAGACGGTTCTATCCAATACCCTTAAAAAAAAAGTGTCTTATCAGAATCGACTGATTTGAGGAGGGTTTCACTTCACCTTAAATTCCGACACCTTATCCCAAGGTACTGCAAGACGAATCCTTCGCGGTCGGCACCTGGGATATAAACGACGGTTCGGCTTAATGAAACTAAAATTACGCCGGAAATCGAGGCGCAATCGGATCGTTCTTAATCTCTTCCCATTTCTGGGGAACGGTACTTATACGCAGACGGATTAGCTTCGATTAGTTATATCCTCCGGAAGCATAACCGTGGAACTAACGGCTCAACGTATGGCTTAAGAGGAAAGGAACCTACCTCTCGTTAATCTTCAAAAGCGGCAATTACCAGCAAAGGTGCTTTTTGTTACCATACTCGCTAAAAGAGAAGCCTATTCAAACTGAATCCTATATACACCAAACACCGCTACGTAACAATAATATAATATACAAGTAAGATTTGTATTGCCATTTCCTCCGCAGCTATATAACACTGTTTACGAGACTTGGAATTAATCTCCTCCATACCAACGGTTGTTAAAAAACCAACCTGGGATCCACTGTATCTAAAAATCCATAAAATCGGTACGTCTCGTTACTCGAGACGACGTCGGGGTAGGATATCGCTGAAATATTGCGAGGAGGATCGGCCAGCCACCCTCGGCGGAGGAATTGGCAGGATTTTGAGAAACACTCCGGCTTCAATAACCCGAAGCACTAGTACATGGCAATGGTCCGCAATATAGGCACTAACGGCTTACACGAATGGCCGTACAGACCAGCAGATACCCCACCCACGTAATACCCTGCGCCGTGCCAACCCCCATAACCCCCATATCTATAGATTATTCACCTATATATCGTCAGTACTAAAGCATATCCATTATAGTCCCGAGCCACCAAGTGCAAGTGCAATATACCATAGATGGAACCATGAATTTTGAGTGGGTAGCACTAAGTTGTGCGCGCCCGGGCGCAACCGCAGGCGCAAGGAGAGAGTTTATTGTTTCTGGGAGGCCGAAGGGATTTCACTCCAGTGGTCCAGATCGATCGGCCTCGGAGACACTTGCGGGAGACTCTATAGGTCCATAAGGCCGCGCTATCGCGGCTCTGGAAGACTATACCGGTCCAGGTCGTTTCCGAGCATCGGCCGTGCCAGATCCAGGGACTTCGTCCTGGTCCCCGCCGACCCCGAGACTCTTCTCGGTCCCTTTTTCCCCGCGGTCGCGTCGCTTTTTGTCCCCGATACTCTGGCTCCGAGGCAAAGATTAATTAGAGGAGGAATACAATAAATTATTATATTAAGGGGCGCGAGAAACCGGCCGATAGACGGGAGAGAAAGGACCGCCGGGGAGGATCCGAAACGGAACGCTGCTTCCCCCTGGCGAGCGTAACTGCATTAATGATGCCCTCTAGCGTCGCCTCCCCGAGATCCCGCCTTTGGGCTTTCTTATTTCCCGCGTGAGTGGGACGGGAAGAAAATTATAAATAAGGTCGGCTGCGGACAATAATCGGCCAACGCATTCAACGGCGGGGGTGGAGATCAGGGGAGGAAGCAGCCACTTACGCGAATCCTTAGTCCGGCGTTCTTTGTTCTTTAAGATGATATGAAAGGCGCTGAGATATTTTATCGACGTAGATAATGTGAAATTCATCTGTACCATTTTTGGTGGTACGTCACTTTGAATACACAAGTGGGAACATAAGCTGGCGCCTCCTGTTCCCGACATTTATATTTATGTTCAAGTCTTTTGCAGTCCACGTTGAGAATTGTACGAACTGAAGCGTTCCATACGTCATTTCGGTAAAAAATGACGAAGAGTTGATTTTTCATGAAGCATGAAATTTCATGAGTTTCAGCACCTGCTTTAGGGCCTTCGTATTCCTGTGATAAAATTTAAAACGAATACTTTCCCCTGCGATTTCACTTCACTGGTATATATAGACTGACCCTTTCATATCAGCTATTCATATCATCGTTAATTTAGTGTTCCGACTTGTCGGAACGTAATCTTATCGTTAAATTTGTTTTCGAGGTCAGATCGTTAATTTACCTCCGTGAGAAAATGCCGCGCATTCGAAATCGTTTTATTGTTTCATAATCTTGGGTGTATTTGCAACTCCACTAGGGTCATTCGTTTCCTTTTCATTTTTCAGTGGCATTCCTTTAGACGGGGAGCTTTTTTATACGTTCTACTTTTCACGTTGCGATAAGCGGCACGGCGTAACAATAGGAGCAGCCTCTAGGGAAAGTGAAATTCCCTCTTACGGAAAATTTAAACGTTTCTTTCGGATTAACGCGAGGGGAGGATGAATTTCATTAAAGCGAAGCCCGCTTGTTTAAAATAAGTGTTTTTATGGCGTATCTGTTCTCCGCTCGACGGCAATGTGACAGCGCGATTACCCCGTGCAAAATTCGCTGTTAAATTTAGCGGCGAGAATATATGTACACTCGGAATGGTGTTAAATCAACACAATCGAAACCGCTCACGGTGTACACGGGTCCACACCGTCAAATGTAACGAGTTCTTTGCAGCGGATCGATTGCAATTTCGCGGCAGCGTGGAGATAACAACAATTTGTCAACCCTCTAGTGTTTGCGCAAAGAATGCCATGTTTCATTAACGTCTAAATCTCTTCGTATAAACAATTTTGAAAGCGCGTATTTATTTCCCTGGAAAAAGGATTCGGACATGTCAACCTTCATTGTTAACCCTTTAAGGTTTGCGCAAAGAATGTCACTGTCATTGTCAACCCTCTAATGCTTGCGCAAAGAATGCCATGTTTCATTAGCGTCTAAATCTCTTCGTATAAACAATTTTGAAACTGCGTATTTATTTCCCTGGAAAAAAGGATTCGGACAGTATGCCAAAGAAGAAAAGCAGCTGATTTGTAGAAATCGTATTAATAGTCATTCCAATCCCAAGAATTAATTCATCTCATCCAGTTTTTGGACGACATTCGAATTTAAAATACATGGGTAATGAAAGATTCATTTGACAAAACAACAATAATTCAAAAACAACCATTTTCATATCGTGCCAACAAGAGAAGTAACGAGGACATTGACGAAAATGTTTACAGACAGAACTAATGTTGATAACTTGTTTTGCCGTCAAATGAAATTGCAAAGGCCACTGAGCTAGATAAAGGGTGGGGTACAACACCCACCCAATAATTGTTCATAAATTTGTAAATACGTTCCAACAATAGCCGACAATACCTTTTACGCATGTTCAAGACTCCAAATTTAAAACATCATCCCCGAATTTAAAACATCAACAAGTATCTCAAGAAGTACACATCGGATAATCAGTTGGCCCGAATCGTGTCCGCCGAAAGTCGGATTCGCGAGGATGTCGTACCTCAAAGCGAGGAAATTAATTCCATCCTCCGAAATCGCCTTGCGTTTCTTTTAAGCGTGGCATGCAAACACGCGGGGCAAATCTCTTTCGGGGTGAGCCCAGGCCGCGGGGTGAAACTACCCTCTCGACGCCAGCTCCGCACCCCCCGAGCCGCCGGGGGAGAATTCGCGTAACGCTCGTTTAAGCGGCTGCTTTACGTCCTTTCACACTTACGTACGTGCCTTACATAACCGACCTACCCCAAGCCGCCTCGAGTTAACCCAGTCCTAACCGGTGGGCCGTGCCGCGACACTCCACCGCAAGCGCTAATGCACCAAGCATAATTATCACGGAGTGGGACGGTACAGTCGCCTAACTTCCGGTCCGCGACTAATCCGACCGGCAATCCGACTGGCAACCAGTCGCCACCACCGCGATGCCAGTTTCACTTCGTTTTAACGCCCCTACGGATTAAGGTGATATGAAAGATATGTACATAACAAAAGGTCAAAATATTTATAATATTTTTCTCCAAACCGGGCGCACCGAATTATCTGAAACTTTAACACGTGATTATGGAGGGCCTAAGGAATAACTCGCTGCTCGTGAAATTTATTTAAAAAAAATGTACTTATCTGGGATTTTAAATTGCGACGATGAAATCAAACTATTGGTAAAATTGCTGTATTATACAAATATCGTGTTTAATTGCACGCAATTGTGGGTAATAATTATTGCGCCCGTACCTTCGGCGAGGACAAGCAGAAAATAGCACCTCAAAGCAGGGTTTATTTATTCAGTTGCATAATGGATTAGCCGGATGCTTCCCTAAAAAGCTTAAGTTTCGGAGGAATCCCGAAGGATCAGCGAAGGGATGGCTGAGAGTTGCCAAGTACTTCTGAGTCGAGCCCCACGAAAGGATTATAATCCTTCGCGGATGAATCTAACTGAGATAGAACGTGAAACCCTTTCTGCGAAAGGGGGGATAAAACCGGAAGTAAAGTCTCGAGGGAAGTCGTAGGTAAGACGATGCAACCAAAGAGTTCGGCGAACGCAAAGAAATAAATAAAAAATGAGTATTATTACATTATTCCCGGGCGTGTGAATCCAAATGAAGGAAATCCTCGCGACGGAATCTTGCGAAAGATCTCCACAGCTTCCGTATAAATAATATAGCTAAGAGTTATTTGTTGCACCCTCAAACATCCTTCATATCGCTCTCTGGTCATAATTAATATCGGAGGGACACCAACTATAAAAATTCCAATAAATTTCCACGCGCTTCTGCTCAAAGTAAGTTACGCCATTAAGACGGGAAATGTACCTAGGTACGCTTTGTACACATCTATAAGTCACGCGTTTGTACATTTATGATCCGGTGTACTTACAAGCGATAGAAACATGTAATACGGAAGACGCAGGATGGATATTCTATTCTCGTCCCCGCTGTATGTAGATCCAATATACGTTTCGTATTAACATGCACATTCACGGTACATAGCCGAGAACTAGGTTACTGTAAGTCTTACTTACGTAGCGGATAGGTACATGCGTACGCATCATGTATATTTTATGAGGATACGATTGTGCCAACAGGTACTGCACGCGTTCGCTAAAATCGCTCATCGTGTACTATCTGCTGCCATAAGCACTTTACGTATTCGCTTATCATACCCCACCAACGTCTATAAACCTTTGATCTTTCTACAACGTCTCATACAGGTGCACAAACCTCCTCGATATTAAAAAATATTTTTACAGAAATTCTTGCGGGTAATGTATTAAACTTTCGGACAATTTGATCCAATACCCTTAAGAAAAAGTGTCTTATTCGAATCGACTGATTTAAGGAGTTTCACTTCACCTTAAAACTCCAAAATGAACTATTTCAAATTCAAGCGTTTCTTTGTACAGATACAATAATGTTGGTCAAAACGTAAATACACCCCGCGTCTCTGCCCGTTTCCCATGGATCTTTACGAAATTTCTCCCAACCGGAAGTTCCGGAATTTCGGCGTCACCGGTAAGTCGGAAAATTTGGGGCCTCCCGTTTGGCGACACGTGCCCACCGGACCACGTGCTCGGAAAGCTCCTCCACCGAGGTTTCCCAAAGCGGGTGCAGTTGCGGTGCGGTTTCGCGGGAAGCCAGGCCTCGGCATCGAGTTTACGGTACCGTCGAGTGGAACAAAGAGTATCGTTTTCTGAACGATTAGGCTAATCGAGTGACCCCGTAAGAGACGTCCCCGTCTCCTCGAGCGGAGCCCGTGCTTGTTCGTACTTCCCAGTTTTCCTGGCGCGCACCCAGAGCGCTCGAGCGTGATCCCCGCCCCTCTAGGTATACGGTATAATGCGAGCACCGTCATTCCTACTTCCGGTGTACCCGTGTGCGGTGTGGCAATTGCTTCCGATCGAGTGGCCAATCATCGGAAACCAATATAGGCGACGCAAACATATCTCCGGGTTCGGGGATAAAGCGAACTGCCGCTCGCATCGACTTTAACTCGATGCAATACCTGTGTACACTGCACGGTAAGACGTTTCAATTTCGATGACCCAATTGATCATGGCCATTGGGATTGTAAATGTCCCTTTAGTGCGCACAGTGACGGACATGACTGATTCCCTTGATGCACCGCCCTGCGCAATACCGTCTTTTCGTTTTTAGTATCAGGGTTAACGTGGGAAAGCAGACTACGAATGCCAAATTAAGTTGTTATGCGTGGATAATTGAGATTACGATGCGGCGCACGTGTTTTGTTTGTAGGGATTGTTTTACCGATCCGGTGTTTCGTTTCAATGTTGTCTTTCACCATCGACAAATAGCCGTGGAAGCTCAGGGCATTCGTACCGATATTCTCTTGAGGATATAATTAACAATTGATTTTCTATCTGCTTTATTGAAAGCATCGTGGATAACGATGAACCTCAAATAACGTTATCCCAGTGCTCTGAATGACTCCATTAGACTTCGATAATTTATGTATTTCCAAATCAATAACTTCGACCCGGTGCGCTATTGATTTCTGGATGCTCCCCTTGGGGAGCGTATATCTTTATTATCAGATAATATTTGCCTCTAAATTTTCCAATATTCGGTGATTAACATTGACAATTTATGGATATCTATTATAAACTTTTACAGCACATTTGCATAATACCTTGTATACCCTGGCCGGAATGTCCACAATGCATTTTAGCGTTCAATTTCGAAGGTAGACGTGAGTAATTTCGTAAATAGACGTTCTCTCCTCTGGGCGGGAATATTTATTATCGTCCCGGTATTTCAATTCGTACTTGAAAAATGTAAATCCTGAAACGTTTTAAGAATTCTCTTCCGCCAGCTAGGAGGAACCCGAGGCATTTCTTGCGATCCTTCTTTCAGGAGGGCATCGGGTCACTGAGGGTAGTTCCTGGAGGGTTGGAGCTGAGAGGTCAAGCCGCTGTGCTGGACGCTCTCGTGGCTTCGTCCGTGAGGTCCAGGAGAGGCAAGAACCTGGTGCTAGAGTCCTGGAGTAACTTCACCGCCTCGGCTAGGTCGCAGGATGGCCGACTTCTCGCCAAATTTACTCTGGGTAAGATTTTCCCGATACTCCAGCCTGCCTCTTTCGTCGAGGACTCTTTTCAGTTAAATGGAGAAGCTTCCACGGCCAAAATGCTATATCAATTCCATCGGCCGATTTTCCAGGATAGCACGGAAAAACATTATATACCATCCACGCAACTTATTTCTTTCGGTAATTATGCATTTTGGGGATTTTTAATTACCCCTCGCGACGGCTATGCGTGTTGCCTGATATTAAGGTGATATGAAAGGCGCTGAGCAATTTAATCGACGTCGATAACATAAAATTAATCTATACTCTTTTTGGGGGAATACCGTTTTCAATACTCAAGTGGTATAAGCTGGCGCGTCATGTTACCAACATTTTTATTTATTTTCAAGTCTTTTACAGTCTACGTTGAAAATTATACGAACTGAAGCGTTCCATATGACATTTCGGTAAAGTAATGATGAAGAGATCGATGTAAAGTCACTCTCATATCACCTTAAACACTTTGTAAGCAAAGAATTCTTTCAATTTCAGCGGAAGATAGATTTGACTGCGTGTCGAAATCCTTCCGGGTGACGGACTCCAAAGGCGAGATCCTATTCTCAGCAGACCACGAGGAAGTCGTCGTGGGGGCGAAGATGCTGAGAGTGACTGGTGTTGGAGGCGCCGTCTTCCAAGGGAGCGTCCAGACACCTCTGGTCATGGCTGGATCTGGACGCGAGCTCACGTAATTTTTCTCTCTATTTAATATTTTAGACAATGAGAACAATGTACTGTAAGAAGATGCTTCAAAATCCCGTAACAAAATATCATCCTCATCTGCGCATTAACAGATATTAATGGAACGTCAAAACAACTTAATTGGACTTTCAGTTTCCTAATGATAAGGTAGAGGGGCATCATTCTAAATTTGGATAATCTAATGACGTTAGAGTTACAATCGGTGAAAAAAATCCTTACCTTTTCGAGTGCAATGATATATCGTTGTACTATAAATTGTGCACGCACAATTTAAAGTACAACGATACAACATTTTTTTTTTTCAGACAATTGGTCCCATCCTTCCTATTTAAATCGTGTATTTCTTGTAATCAAAGTTGTGATTTATGGAACAAGGAACATGTTACTTATGTGACTACCTAAGGACCTGTTCCGATACTCCAAGATATTCGACAAAATTCGATGTACCGGAGACAACGCTTCTCTTTTTCGCAGAGCCAAACCGACTACCACCACCGACTGGCAGTCGTCCTGCCATCGCGGTTATTGATAGCGCCGCGCAATTTACAGACGGATTTACGATTACAATAAAACTTTGCTCGCGCGGAAAATTATATTCATAGGATTGGATTTGCGCCAGATATGAAATACCGGGGGAAGGAAGGAAGGGCTTTGCCTCTCGTTCACCCGTACCGCGGGAATCGATTATTCCTCAGTCGAGATAACTCGGAGATCGTAAATGCGGGGTCCGCATGAACGTTGAAGCACTCTCGAGCCGTTAAGAACATTCCGAGAATAATTCGTTTTAGGAGGAGAGAAAGCCGGCTGGGATTCCGCGTATGTTCAATCGCTATCGACGATGAATTCGAAAGACACCCCGAGGAAAGAAGTGATTCCCTTGGTGGAAAAATAATCCACCGTTTACTTTCGAGAACAGAAAAACCCCCCAATCGGGATAAACGAAAGCGGAAATGTCAAAAGATTACGCCAAAATTCATTCGTGTACAAATGCTGCCATTTCAAGAAAAAAGTATAGAAATTATTTATTTCAAATGATTGGTGTAATGTTTCACGCGGGAGGAAATACTTCAATATGAAAAATAATAAATTAGCGTTATCTCATTATAGTAGCAAAACGCATGACCTTGATTTTAAATATTTTCAAAACGTTTATAATGTATTCAGCAGACAATATTTAAAAAATTCTTATATCAAAAAGAAACGAAACGATTTGTATATTCATAAGAAAAATATTAAAAGTAAACTATTGCAAATATTTCAAATGTCTGCTAAATATATACAAAATATACATCATAAATGTATAGAAAATATAAGGGAAATATTTTCTGCTACTAGGAGTATATTTAAAATTACAATGAAACTCAAAGAGGGAATCTTCCGCAAACAGGTTAGAATCGGCGACGAGGACCTTAAAAATAAGAGCCCCGCAGAAGGTGACGATCGAATCCTGGGCAGGCGAGCTGTCCGCTTCCTGTCTGACGGATCTGAGCCTGCGGAGCACCGGAGGAGCCATAAAATTCGACGCCAAGTCCATCTTCCTGACGGGTCTTCGGACCGCGACTCCCAGCCAGGTCGGCCAAGGCCACCCTACCAGGGAGCAGCACTACGCCAGGACTCACCAGGGTCAGAAGGAGATGACGGTGTACCAACTCTGTGCCTGTGCAAACGGCAAACTGTTCCTCGCCAAGCCCGAAGGCGTCTGTCAAGCCGACAAGAGCGTTTGCTAATAGTTAACGGGGTAACACGTGGGTACCAGGTTCTCCAATCCGGGGACGAAGTGGACGATGTCGTAGAGCTCCGTCTGGATGTGCGTTTTACGTGTCAAGTTGTACGAAAGGGCGCCAACCACGTATGGATTCGAACGCAAAAATTTCCCCGGCAGCGTGGACCTGGACCATACGCGGAAGGTCGTCCTGGATGGTCCAGGTCCTCTGCGAGGGTCTCTGCAAAACTCTCGCCTCGCGACGAGAATTGCGCACGCCTCTCTGTAAGTAGCAGTGTCGCCGAAGCTACCACGCGATGTATATCTTGTATATCAATAAAATCCGATTACCGTTGAAAAGCGATCGACTAGGCTCGGCTGAATTCACTCCCTGCCCTCCACGATCCTTGTTCAGGTTGTTCCAACGGAAGGAACGATTTGCAGGGTGCGCGGAATACTCTAACTTGGGAGTTCTTGGTATAATTAATAAAATGACTAATTAATCCTAACAGTAAAGGAAATATTCATAAAGAGACCAAGGCAAAATGATCGAGCATTGTTTAGAAGACGTGATCATTCCTTAACAACTGATGCGGCTAAACCAAGACTGTTCCTAGGAACAGTGGACAGAAAGGACCCTCAGTCTTAGACCACAGAATCGAGCAGTACTTATTCGGAATACTCTAGTTTTGAGGCATACGCGCATATTTGTCTCATAATAAGCCAGCATACCAGGCTGCGAGATATACGAAATGTAGGACAATTGTCAATAGTAGACACGTGTATTTTAAATACCTACTACAAACAAGGTACTTGGGCTGGTGTTGCGGTGTGTTCGCGGCTTCTGCAAGAACCGAGGTCGAGGAACTCTGCAGCAAGTGGAAGGCAGTCAACACGTGGGACGGCGGGTACACCGTAGACGTTAGATTACGCATTTACCATCCCTTGCCGGGTTTTCGCCCAAACATTCTATCGTTTCCCGGTATATGTTTGCCCCGGTTAACCGCTAATGTTCTTAGAGGCTGAATTTAGCGGTCGGTTAATGCCGAAATACCGAAATTCGATTTGCACGCGGTCGTCGCGTTGCTTTTACGCAGAAAGCGATCCGCGTAACCTGGGAAATCATTCCGTGAACAATGTTGCACCGACTTCTAGAGTGTTACTTTGGCACCTGCTGTGCACTCGGACATCACGTAGAGAGTCATAAAAAATCTTTCAACGACGAAGTGCATGCACGAAAATAACAACGTCGCCTAAAAGTACCGGCGGTATCGACCCATCGGTGGTTCACAAGTATCTAGACTTTCAATCTTTACGACTATAAAAATACTATCCCCCGTACTTTGTCACCCCTAGTCGGGAAATTTCGACTATCTACATTACAGGAATGATTTTCGGACGCGCATGATTATTACAAAGTAATTATTACAAAGATTCTAAGTACGATGAAGCTACTCTGAGATGCTCAACAGTTTACAGGTACCACACAGCGCAACTCCCCCATACTCTCCCATTCCTAAGAATAATTTAAAAAGACACTTTTTTTTACCAAAACCATTCTAAAACAAAATTTACGAAATTATTAATGGCACGGAGAGACGTCGCTTCAGGGAGTAAAAAATGAATTAAGAAAGAACCGCTGGGTCGCGCTCTTTTATAAAAATTGCCCTAAGCCAACATCGTGAGAAGATTGGCCATGCGACTCCGATGGCAGCGTTCCATTCAGCGAATAAAGTGGTTGGAAAAATTCTGAGAGGGCTAAAAAAGATATCCACGGTAGTAATAAGGATACGCGCCGTCGGGGCGCGGCATTTTCGTGGAGACCGACCTACCCTTATACGTCAGCCGTCCTGACAGCCAACAGAGGCAATCTCACCTAGTAGCCGCTTAAGGGGATCTGACGGGGAGGTAATTTTCTCGGAATTCGAGATTAAAATTGCACCCAAGGAAAACAAAGTGCACCTAGGTAAGAGTAAAGGCCAATCTAAGAGCAGCCGGAGGTGTGAATTAGCGACGGGTGAATAAAAAATGGGCGCGAGATGAAAAATGCTCTCGAGTCTCTTTATACGTAAACGACCGAGAGTCTGGGAGGCGAAGAGGAGCGTCGGGACGCCTGCTCGAGACTTCCAGAAGAGGCGCCTCCACTGTCGCTGACGTTTCAAATGGCAGTAATTGCGGTAGAAATGATCGACGATGCGAGCCCTCGGGATATCTTGCAATATCAGTACTTTTAATTTTTCTAAAATCATTAGACTTTAGGAAAACGGTTCATTCTTAATTAAGAAATTGAACGAACTTGAAACTCGATTGGATTAAAATTTCGCCTCGCCCGTTTTGACCCTTTCTACGTAGTTCTTAGTCCATTTTAAAGTTGAATTACCTTTATCGATATAATATTAATAAATAGAAGAGCATTAAACACAATGAAAGTGCAATGTATGTTTTCCCCTTTAAAATGCTAAGAACTAGAATGCATGGTAGGAGCACGTTTCTAAACGGTGGATTTAGTCTGTCCAACAATGAATTTAATCTCCATGGAGTTTCACCGGTTTATAAAAACGTAATGTATTCATAGTTAGAATGTGTATTCGCTCCACGGTGAAAACTGTAATATACCATTACTCTCAAAAGCGCGATCTCTATGCAAAACACGGAATGATACTACAGACAGCGCACTACAGGATGTTGATAAAAGATAGAGTGATTTCAGGACCAGCTATCAAGTCTCCATCTGCATTTCATCCCGTTTACGAAAAAAATCTTACGAAGCGAAGAACTTAAATAAACAATTTATCCCCATCGTAATGCCTTTCAGACCTTGATTTCCTCAAAAGAACCGTTCGTGAAAGTAACTTAAAAAAATTCAGAAGTTCATTCATAACCTGTGCAGCATGCCATTTCAAATAATAAACCGTATCACGATGTTCAATTAATTAAATCAAGTTAGAGTAAATAATTTTATTTACTCGCAACTCGATGTTCGAGCAAGTACATTACGAGCTTTTAGGATGTGAAATCCGAGGGACGGTACGAGTTAATGAGTTGATTAGTCGATGACTAATTCCAATGTCAGCTAGGCGATACTGGCTTATGGAGGGTTGTCGATCGAGATGCGATCATAGGATCGATCGCTGATCCTATTTCCAACATGGTCCCTGGATGGTCCAGCAATCTAGCAAAAGGCCCAGGTAGGTCGGACAGGTTGGATAGGTCGGATAGGTCTGATAGGTCGAAGGTAGGCTTGCAGGGAAACATCCAGGGCTACGAGCTCGTTCGGGCGAGGTTGGCCCGTGTAATATACGCGGATAGGCGACGGGATGGCCCGGATGGGTTCCGTGAACCATGAAATTGTCGCACAGTACGGGTACGTCCAATAAAGCTTTAAATACAAATTAGTGCGTCGCTGCGCTGCAAGGAGATGGGAGCCCACCGTGGCGGTGTAGGTAACCGTGCCCCTGCGAAACTCTGAGACAAGGAAGTCTCAGGCAAGGTGGATATCTCGTGGACGAGGATGCAACGAGGACCGACCTCGGCTACAGGGATAAACTGTCCTCATCAAGCTTCGAAATCGGATCGCCAAGGAAGAGGAGTAGGTCTTATCTTTCCAAAAGGACCGGCGGGCCTCTCTAAACAACGAAACCCCTTTTTAAACAATGAAGGTTCTTTCTAAACAATGAGGATGATATGAAAGGGACATATATGAAACATTGAAATATTTATAAAACTTTCTGTAAACTGGATGCACCGAATAATTTGAAACTTCAACACGTGATAATGGAGGTCCTAAGGAAGAAGGCGATGCTCGTGAAAGTTCATTTCTCACCCAAAATAATGTGATCTTGTTTCAAGTCTAGGATAAATAAGAAAAATTTCTTTTAGAAAAATAAAATTTCAGGCTTAAGCCACCGATGTTCCCTTCGCTTCAGCCAATGAACCTTAATTAACGATAGTTAACGTCCTAAGAAGTTAATAGGAATTAATTCGTACGGCTCGCTTTGGAATTAAATGTTTGCACGAGCGGGAAAAGGTAATAATTCATTTCGGAGCACGTTTCGTTTGACATGTAATCAAATAGGTTTCGAAGTGGTATTTTGGTAAATAGTTTCCGGAGTAATTTTGTAAACGTGGCAATCCTACTCTGCGGTGATCAAACGAAACGAAATGGTACCAGCACCGTACAGGTGCAGGGTGAGCCTAGGGGTAAGTCAGGGACGAACGGACGTGGCTCCCTTTGGTGATACGAGAGTGCAGCTAAATTTCAACATCGTTTGGGTGCAATTTAATGCACCGTCGTGCCATCATCGGACCGCTGATGGAATATCTTTCGAATTGCCACGTAACCTGCGTCTAGTTAGTGCGAAACGAGCTGTTGATAAATCTCTCCCTCCTCTCGCCGTCCCCCCTTCTTGGTATGTGGAGCCATTTCTCCGGGCGGAATTACAGTCCAAAATTGTAATTTTGTCCGGACCACCCCAACAAGCCGACGTTGCTACACGATATGGCGGCAAATGCGCTAACTCTTTCGCGGAAAAGCACGACCTGTGATAAAAACAAATAAGAAAAATGTTCACGATACTTTCATCATCTAATGGTGGGGCAAATATATACATTTACGGGTTTTCAAACTCAGTTACGGCATCCATACCTGCATGTAAATGTTTTAATTCCTTGCAATTTTCTGCCAGTACTTTAATCACCTAATGGAGAGGCAAATATATACCTTCAACGTATTCTGAAAGTCTGTTTCGTCATCAAAAGTCTGCTTAATGCCTTCAAATGTTACTCATTTTATTACGTACAGGATTTTACGTAAAATGCGTCAATGTTACGTATGCATAGGATAGACAATGCCCCTATTAATAAGGGGAGAGAATTTGGCGAGACATGGAAACTGAAATGTAAAACGTTTTTATGCAAGTTGTTTTCGATATTCGTTATGATCCATTATTATGTCTGGGACGCATTCGTTTTCAGGACAGAAGGCCAATGATACGCCTTTCAGTAATTAAACAATTCGAGGGGGTTTCACTTCACCTTAACACTTACGAATGCCAGTTATCGATCCCTGGAGTCGAGGGTACACGCTTTCGCGTGGAAATGGTCGATTTGTTTCCTATTTCTGCGCCCCCGTTCCTCGCTTTTTAAATTACGACTCGGGGTGGAACTTCGTTGCCAAGAGTACAGGCCATCTCGGAGGCAGCAGTCGAGCAGCTCAAAGAACGACGCGAAATGGAACGCCTTCAAGTCCGGCCCAGTTGGCAGTTGGTTTGGTTTCTTTCGCGTTAAGGGTGCAACAGGCAAGAAATTAGCC